CACAAATAAACAAGACTAAAAAAAAAAAAAAAAAAAAAAAAAAAAAAAAAAAAAAAAAAAAAAAACGTTATCATTATCACAAATACAAATGGACACAATATGAATATCACAAAAAGCTTCTTGGTCTGCAATAAATATCTGGTAACAATGTAACTGCTACGCATTCAAGCTCGCTGTGCCAGTAAAACATTCAGCAATGCTTGTTGTTTTTATGCAGTCAAAAAGTTTGATGTGCCATTAGAATCAATGAAAAATGACAACTAGGGGGTTTCTTTGCCAAAAAATAGCAGCTGTGTCTTTTTCAGTGTTGTTGAGGCAGATATGAGCTATAATTTTTCTATGTAGCTGAAAATATAACACTCACTGTCTTGGGTCTATGTGAGGATCTAAGCTGAAGCAGAAATACGTTACAACTATTTAAATATATATTTTTAAAGTGACTCGTATCTTTCCTAACATAATCTCAAATGACACATTTTTTAATCCTCTGCAGCTCTTTTCTGCCTGAATGCGATTCAGGCAGACTGAAAAAAAAAAAAAAAAAAACAGTTGTTTTTTTTCTTTGGAGAATACAGCACAGCTTAAAACCTCAACCTGACATTCAAGCACGGTGGTGGAGCGGTGATGACTTGGGCTTTTGCAGTCGGAGCACTTGGGACACTATAGCAGGGCTATCGACCGTTTCAGTAATCAGACACAAAAAGTGTCACATTCTTCAGATTTTTCATTTAACTACTTAAGCCTGTTGCAGTTGAGTGAAAATGTAAGGCAAAGGCTTCCAGAGTCACATGTGAGGCCTGCTATATAAGAGTTAAAGCTTGGCTTAAACTGAGCTCTATATATATAAATATATATATAGTTAAAGTCCAGATCTCAACAGGATTGAGATACTGATTGAAATAATGTGTCGGTTCTGCAGGGTGGCAGTAAAGAAATGAAAATGAAATGCACTGAAGCAGTGAGAAGAAGTAGTTTTGGCCAAAATGCTTAAATTGAAAGAGGGTTTACTTTCTTTTAGTCATGATGTGTGCATCTGCTTCTTTGTATTAAAATACTACAGAGCAAAATCCAACTGCACACACACATATGGAGACCTCATTTTCCACTAGGGGTGAAATTCTGGTCACCAGATGAACAGATAGATTTTTTTTTATGTCAAGACCTAGGTTTAAGGTAAAAGTATTTATTTTCAATAATTGGTTTATGGGTTAGCAGCAGAGTTTCTTCATGGCATTCAGTCATAATGGTTAAGGTTACGAAAGCATGCCCACAGGCTCTAAGAGATGGACATGTTTTTATGTGTTTATTCCACAAATAGCCACACAAGCACAAATGCAAGACTTTCCAACAGATTCTTGCTGTGTGCATGGGAACTCTGATGTTGCCCTGCTGTTTTATGTCTCTACTGGAAAGGACTAGCTGCATTAAAGGTTTTTCCCTCAACATCTTTGACACATAAGCAATGGTTCAGTTTAATGAAAGACTGCTGCTGTTTCACCGCATCATCTGACATCTAAGAAGCTCAAAGCTGTAGACGTTTTTTTCAAATCGAGTGTGTCAGCTTTCATTTACTGAACCTGATGTAATCCGTGCAGTTTTTTGATTACTAATAGTTATGTTTAAATATTTTTTTCTCCCACATCTGCCCCCTAATTTGCCCCAACATAACGTACTTCCTCCTATCAGACTTTCAAGAATACATGGAAAAAGGGAGAGCAGTGAAAGTCCATCCGACAAATGAAATATATAATTCACAAGCAGAATGTAAATGTAAGGCATTTAAAATCCATAAGTCAAACAATATTGCATCCTAGCAGTATTTTGCAATTGCAATATTGTACACATTTGTCATTGCAATATTCCAAAATGCACCTTTTTGCAAAGAAAAATCCACAAAACATTTAGCCTAGACTAGTGAAGATTGAAAAGATGTATCCCAAAAGATCTTGCTAGTCTTTTAGCTTTTTTTTTTTTAAGTGAACAGAACCATGTCTTTTCCATAACTTAACTTCTGCTTTACTCCCATTTTTATCCTGCTTCATGGCAGTGCAGAAGAGAAGAGTGCTCCTCCAGAACCACACTGAATTCCTCTGCAGCAGTGAGTCATTGCCATAACCCCCAAATGTCACCAAGCCTGTGATTTCTGACATTCACAACCTTCATTTCACTCCTGAGGAGGATGAAGGACTGAACTCCAACTGTGTGAAAATGTTTTTCTGAGCCCATAGCCGTGTGAGAAAGATGCTGTTTTAGCTCCTTGTAACAACATAAGTACATTTTTGTCTTCCAACAGAAAAAAAAACCCCACCTAGATTTAGTGTCACTGGACACAAAAATAAACCCAAGCAATGATTCTTGCAGGCCATTAGGAGCACACTGTGAGATGATGTTTATATAGCTACGTCAGCAACATGGTTTATTAGGAGAGCCTATTGAGGCACAGCGTCAACCTCCACCTGTATCTCACCTTGTTACCTAGGCGCCGTTTAAACAAATACTCAAGGGAGGAGGCTCAAAGTTAGAATAGACATATTCCTAATATTGTCTAAAAATACTCAGCTTGACACAAACAATTAAACTCTCTGCAGTTTTATAGAAAAAAAAAGCAACATCTTGACAGCTCATCTTAAGATGAGTTAAGTTAAATTGCAGCAACCTCCCTTTTAAATGCAGCTTGTCTAGACTAAGGTCCAGATTTAGCTTCCTTTTTAAATTCTGTTTTCATATTTTGCTGCTTAACCATAACAAACCATGTAAAAACTGGCTTGGGGTTCTTGAGGCTACAGAAAAATGAAAACGAAAACACCCCTTTTCACACACAAGGAAATGTGCCCAATCAAAGCGACCCCTGAGAATATCATGGCCACACTGTCCGTTTGTTTATGTGAGCACAAAAAATGTGATGATTTAAAACTTGCAGGAAGATTTTTTTTTTCCTTTCCTTTCCTAAATGTCATATATTTACACTAGAAATGTGCTCAAAGCCAAAAGTGGACCTTGTGGACAAAATGACCAGACTGTACAATGAAGTAACCTCAGAGTCCCATAATAGAGCCTCCATTGCAAGTATTACACATGGGTGTACACCCAGCTGCTAAAGCAATCCAGGCTTCAGATGGAGAGTGGGGGTTATGTAGACAGCGTGGATTTTACTTTAGTTCATTGCACTAGTTTAAACAATTTGTCTGCTTTTTACATGAGAAGATCAATTTACCGTGGTAATGTAGCGAGGACTGAAGAAACTTACAAAAAAAATCCAAAAGGCACCTTGAATACAAATTAGTGGGAGGAGAAAATTTGAAGAAATGTTCAATTCCCACAGCTTTTACAATCGGGTAAAATGTATGTTCTGTTGTGTGAAATTTCATTGAAATGTAAATTTGCATAATTGCTGGTTAGCCTGACTAATTAGCCAACTACAATTTGCTTCATTAAACTTGTTTAACTCTATAAACAGCAAATTTTGGAAATATTTACTCAATGTTTATACATGGAAAAAGTCATAATTGGTATAAATAACATTATTACTATTAATTCTACTGCACAGTATTACAAGAAACTTACTGCTTAAAAAGAACATGAAAATAGAGATTAAATCAAACGTACTTAGTGGCTTTCTCTTATGTTATTAATATACAATATAAGTGAAAAAAAATTATATATATATATATATAAAATTCCAGAGTGAACACGATGCGCTTACCAAAAAAGTTTTAGCAGCCATCTTTAACAATAAGTAGGAAAAAAAGAAATTTAAAAACGGCAATGTGGTTAACAAGGAATCGTTTTTCTTTTAGCCTTTCAACAGAAGCCAATCATGAACAAAACCCATCAGGAAATTAGCATCTACTTACTTATACTGCTGGTGGTCCTTGGTGCTGCGAGTCTTCGCCATGAAGCGCTCAGCCAGTTTTTCCAGGTTTCTGGAGTACTCCATTTCAATTTCTGCTTTCTTTCTGAAGAAGTCCTGAAGGTCCTGCAGCAGCTGCACCCGCATTTCCGTCTGCTGGTCGAGGCATTTCTGCTGCTCCACCAGCTGCGTCCTAATCTCTGAAAACATGCAAAGGTGAGACGTACATGAGGAACAGGATTGTAAAAATGACTCAGGAAAGCAGAAACATACAACAGACCAAGGTGCATCTTAACTTGTCGTAAATGTTCCAAACAGTTCCAAATATCTGAATGCATAAATATAATTATGAAGCTTTGCAATTTAGCTTTGCAAAACATTACTACACAACTGTCTGCGTCAGCACTGAGGATGAGGACAAATGATCTGCATTCCCAATAATTTACATGCAGTAGTCACACATGGAAGTTTGAGTGAATGGGTCAAAACAGGCCATTATGCTTCTGAGTCTCTGTAAAACTTTTAAAGAGGCTGGCACGGTGGACAAAACTGGTCCCAGGTGTTTCATTAAAGCTACAACTCCTGCAACAAATGCAATCAGTTTCTCCTGTTTCTCATCATGGGGAGTTTAAAAAGCTACAAATGCTGTTGTTTTTGCGACTTTCACATCGATCCACAATATCCACTTTAAAAAATGGAGGGGCAGGTCACGTCTCAACCAGCTCTTTGTGCATAAAAAAATAACATCCAACTTTGTTTTTTTGTTTGTTTTTTTTCCCCCAAGGGAATAATATCAACATCTTTCCTGTTGAACAGGTAAACTGGGATCCAAACAGACACATTGTTGCCTCTGCTTGCCACATCCTGCCCAGGCCTTGTGTAATTGATTTCTTGTGATAGGATAGAAACCACCTATCATGGGAAAATACAAGCCTGGCAATGTCAACAACACAACGTGATTTGCAAATTATGTTTTATTACCAAACTATTTAACACTGTGACAACAATAAAAAAAAAAAATAAAAAAAAAAAACTGGCCTTTAATCGACATCTGGCTGAAAATCTTGGTTTTTAAAAACTTTTTCCATAAGCTGACCAAACACATGGAAAAGGGGAAATATTTTGTCATTTATAAATAACTGGATTTATAATTTTAAAGTGATTTACCACATCACTTGCACAATAACGTACATTTAATATAGTTTGCTGTCCATTTCAATCATATTTTTTTCATGCAATAGTTTTATTACTAAAACAGCTGGTATTTATGAGGCTTTATCAAAACAGCTACTAAAGCTCTAATGAGCCATTCAGGAAAATTAGGCAAGACCCACACATGCAAAATTACACAAGATGTAATACATGATATAAAAAATACCTAAATTAAAAAAGCCAAAAAAGCAGATTTTGGAAATCATCCAAAATCATCAGTCTTGATGAGGATCTTTAAGCATAACCTCATCAAGACCGATGATAAATGGTTAAAGGAATAGTTTAGCCAAATCTTCAGAGAAGTTTGAAACAAACTGGAAATTATATTTTTAAAGTTAGCTAAAAAAAAAAACAAAAAACAATGGAAAGAACTCTTCAAAGTCATAAGAACAAGTTTTATCCGTTGTTGAGTGGCAGAGAGATGCTCTTCATTCCTTACTAAATCAAGAACAATTTAAACAGAAACCTCTGTTCGTACCGACAAGCAGTTTCTCCCCCAAAAAGTTGCAAAACTTTGTCATATTTATCCATGTCATGGTAAGCATGAACTGAAACTCTGATCTGACGGGTTTATATAAGAAAGAGAGAGAATCATTTAATCCCACAGGCAAATATCTCAAGTGAAACTTCCTTTGGAGTTTGAGTCCCGTTGATCAAAGAGAGGCGTTATACGAGCCCCTTGCTAAGAGCAATGTCAGGTGTCTGACAGGTTTCTTACAAATCAAACAGAATGAACTGGATCTGGCACACATGCCCTTTAATGCATTAAAAAAAATCAAACCACAATGTGTTTTTACCAAACCTAAAATGATCTGCCTGTCCTTGTATGTTTTACTATATTACATGCTGCATTCCTGCCATTCTGAGGCAGTATGTATGGCAAACACATGTGGAGGCCTCATACTGTAGGGGTTTATGGGAGGGCGTTCGAGTTCACTGAAGTCTATTTCTTTGCTTTGAAACAAGCAATCTTCAGAATTGGATTTGTTTTTATAGTTACATTCACACATTGGGACACCAGAAGTAAGGCACATCAAACAAACAAACAAAATCATCTTACTAAAAAACAAACAAAACAAACAAAAAAAAAAAAACATGAGTCAATGAGAGCAAAATGATGTCATTTTTCTTGAAGATAATTTTATTTTTCCTATGGGATACTGTCCAAGAACTCCAGCAGAGAATCTGCTTCCAACACGACCATTCACGGAAATAAAAATCCACGAAGTTGCAACTCAGATTTGCCAGACAGATCCCTTCTATTGTCACCAAAAATGCTTAGTAAGCAGGACGGGTACTGACCCATTGTGGGTGAAAGACCGCACCGCTGTAAAAACAACTCATCTGATGTCAGAGAGTAACAAATAACTTTTTGTAAGCCCTTGAACCCAAATATATCTAACTTATCAGAGAGGCAATCTGCCTGCTGCAGTATGCATCCATCATGTTGCTACATGCAACAATTCATTTATCTAAACTAATGGTTCCCAACATGGGCTCTGAATTGTAGCCAGTAGTTTTAGCAATAGCAGCAGAGGAAATCAACAAAGCCGTTCAAGTCCGTGTTGGTCATGCTTCCCAGTATTGAATCAACATTAACTGCCAACTCGTTCAGCTTGGCACATCTTTCTTCGTAGAGATTTCACAGCGTTTAACTGGTGAATTGAATATGTCCAAATACAACCAAACAGTAGCAATTGGGTAAAATTTAAAACTTCAACAGAGTTCAGCAATAAAAAAAACTGCTTACTTCAAGGAGATTTACTTTTGTTGTTGCTGCTTATACACGCACAAGCTTGAATTAGCCTGTCTGCATGCATTCAAGAGTCACAGCATCGTGGTGGTGGTGGAGGAGGGTAACAATGTAAAAGAGAGTGGGAACCACTGTTCTCAGGCAACAGTTTCTCTAAGTTAGTTGCCATTTCTTACAGAACATATCATAGATCAGTCCCAGCGCTGCATTTACACATGCAGCTCAGCTCATGCACCTCCTCGTCAGCACCTGAAATAGCAGCAAAGGCCTGGAGAGTGATACTACAAGAGGGTTGCCGGCCTCACCATCTGCTCCAGATCTATTACTTGGGACCAGGGGAGTTTTATTTGCCTCTGCTGGAGGCTGGATACAAGACAGGATAAATACCAGCAGAGGTAATTACAAAATAGCTCCTGGAGGAAAAGCTTCGTATTACATCAGCAGCTTGATCACATGGCAGGAAGATTTCCCTGTTAAAAGGCAGGTTAATGTCCGATAAATGACGAACTGGGTCCCGCCGTCATCTGGCGCTTCTTGATTAGTAACAGAATGAACTGGATCCGACAGTTCATTCAGTCTGTCCCAGCGCTGCATTTCATTCAGTTCATTCTGTCCGTCTGTCAGATCCAGTTCATTCTGGAACTGAGCTTTTTCACATTTCTCTTTCAATAAGGCCAGATATGTGCAGCGTATACATAATAGCTGTCCTTCCAGCAGATTCTCCCGCCTGAGCTGTGGATCTTGTCCGGTTTCTTCTCTCCTTGACGGTTTGGGTGGACACACCATTTAAAGTACTATCGTGTATGCTGACGTACTTTCAAAGTTTTACTTGACAATGTGACTCGTCATCATGAGGCCAAAAGAAAAAGAAAAAACAAAAAAAAACATATGACCCAGAATGTCTACTCAGTCAAATTAGAGGTAATAAGAGTTTTGCAAATAGCAACAATCAATGGAGATTACAGTTACGACTTTAGCAGCCGTCTGGGTCTGTGCAGTAGTAAAGTAAGATCTGCCAAAATGCCAAATCGATTCCATCAGAGCACTTAAAACAGCGCCAAATTACAAACATATTCCTGCAAACTTTGAGAATGGGCTTTATCTCAAAAATATTACAGATCTGGCAACGTGTTCTCCATTACAGCATCTGACTGACATCCTCGCAGCTTCCAAAACCACAAAGAGGCTTCCAACACAAGTACTGCAGGCTACTGTTATCCAGAGGATGACTGCTGGGTCAGAATGGGGAAAAAAAAAGGCCTGACCCTATTACTCTTATTCTTTAAACGGAATCAAAAGTTACACAACGCAAAGTAAGGCTTATTCTTAAATATTCTCCCTACTTATATCAATTTGCTAAACAAAACATCCTTCCTTCACAGCAAATATGATTAAAACAAGCGACAAAAAATAATATTTTTTATTACTAATGCATGTATAGGCCTAATAAACAAATGTCAGAGCATAAACGTGTAAAGCTCAAATAGCAAATACGAGAGCAGCTGAGATACGAGTCGCGGTTCCAATTCAGGGGTGTTACATTAGGTTTGTAGCAATCCAAAATGAACCCCTAAATCTTTGTCACTTCCACTCCACAAGGTTATATTTAATAATGCAATTTCAATAAGTGGAATCTAATAATCCCTGCCAATTAGACTGAGCTCTTCTAAACTGCTTATGAGCCAAAAGCCACAGCAGCTAAAGCAACGCCCCCACAGATAAGAAGCCCAAAGCAAGCAGGAGAGCGGGATCAATCACGGCAGAGTTTATGGTGTTTGGTAAGGACCAGCGTTTTGATCCAAACCAAATAACAGAATTAGAAGCTTAATGTTGGGGGATAAAAGCACATTTTAGAGTCAGAGCTGTTTGTTCAGCTGCAGGTTAACGTTGAGGCATCTTGTTTGATGTGGACACCAACCTGCTGTTATGGGACATCTGACAGAACCAGCAAAGATTTGTGTGGCTTAATGTCTGCTTTGTGTTGAATATTTTGATTTATTTTTTTTTGTTTTTGGGAAATGGGTAATGCAGTATAAAATAAGTGTCACTGTGATTTGTGATGTTTTCTATCCAGAGCAGACATCATGGAGTGATAGTAAAGAACATTAAGCCAGGTTCTGTGGCTTTGGTTTCGATTTAACCGACTTTTAGGTTATTACTGTTCACTGGTGAAAATCTATCATTGTAGAGAGGCACATTGTTGGTTTTTTTTGGTTTTGAGTCATTCTACTTCCT